TTCGTGATAGATTTAAATACATATGAGTCACTGTTAAATAAACTAAGAAATGAGCTGCTGCAAAGGAAGGGCGAAATTATCCCAAGGAGAAGAGATATCTCAGATTACTGTATTCCCTAGATTTAGAGGCCATTCTGATAGAGGCTAAATGGAGGGACATGAAAATTACCTGAAGAAAATAGATTACGAGAGAGATGAGATTGGTGGATCCAATTGTTGAAAAGGAAATGTCCTGTTTGGAACAGTGACTGAAGATGATGTTAAAATCATAACATGAAAACTGGGAGACATGGAGATAAACCAGAGAATGCTAGCTCATGCAGACTAGAGTATGTCAGTATTAAATGTGACAAGGTTGGAACTGTTGGAATAGAACCATTAATTGGCTGATAATAACCTAGCAGAGTTGAGACGAGAGGTAATTAATGATACAGAAACTGTAATGATGGAATTACAGGAAATGAGTTGTTTTATGCAAAAATAATTCCAACTAATGACAATTACAAATAAGGTGCGACAAACTAGTCACTCATTGATAATCTTGCTGAGCATGTGAGAGCACAATTAGATATGTTGTCACTGGGACACCTGTCCCCAAGCATAGTAACCCCGGGTCACTTGAGGGAAATGCTACTCTGAATACAAATAGAATTGCCTCATCATTTAAGGTTGCCAGTGGATTCTACCAAAGAATTGTGAAAATACTATAGTGCACTGGGATGTGTGACCTTGGTGGAAAATAGAAAGCTATTAGTTTTGATGTCTATTCCATTGTTGAATAGAGAGAGTATATTCGTGGTATACCAAGTTATAAATTTACCTAATCCTTACTCCAGAGGAAATAAAGGTTTGGCAATGGTAGCAAGATACAAGGTGGAAAATGAATACGTAGCTTTAAATTCAGGTAGAACAAAGTTCATGAAATTTTAGAAATGATGCTTTGGGAATCTGTATATCATTGAGCCCCATCTATGTAGCAGGTAATCACAAAATGTGCGTTCTAGAATTGTTTGAAGGGAAGAAAGAAGAAATTAAGAGAACTTGTCAAGTAGAGGTACTAGCAAACACAGCATTGCCACAAGCTATCAGTGTTTCAGAGGGAGTGTGGGCAGTGGCCACACAGAAACCCATCATCTTGTCTAGGGTATGTGGGGGAGAGTCCAAAAGGACATTAAAAGTGAAACCACCATTGTCTCTGTTAAAATTGCCACTGGGATGTTCATCATTTGGGATATCTATTTTCTTACCCCCATATTACCAGGTAGAAGAAAAATATGAAGAGAAAGTTTTGATTACAGAATTGATTGACAATTAGACAATTGTAGCGTTGTGGGAGCCAATAGTGAGTGGATTCCCCAATGTTACCTTGAAGAAAATACCAGGGCTAATGAAGCTGATAGAAAAGATCAATACGGATCAGTTAAGGGACAAATTAAGTGTGTTGGAAAAGGAAGTTGGGAGGATGATGAACAGATTGCGATAAATTGGTCAGCAATAATGGGTACATTAATAATTATCGCCATACGGGGAATGGCAGTATGGAAATTTAGAAGTAGGAGAGAATTAATTCGTGGTAATCATATGAGCATGCAGCAACTCGAGAGGAAGATGCTGAGCAGTGTTCTTTACCCAGACAGAATCAAGGAAGAAATTGCAGAGAATATTATATTGCATGCAGAACAGAATATGAAAAGAACTTTAAATTGCTTGAAGAAAAAAATGAAAAGAACATTACATTGCATGTAGAACAGAGAAAAAACATTGACTAAGAAAATACAAGAAAACAAAAGGAAATTGGAATTACCCACAACAGATGCATGATGCATGTTAAATTGCATGAAAAATTTAGGTCTTATTTGCATGCAAAACAAGGATAGGTAAGGAGAATTGGACACTATTTAGATATGATAATACACAGAGTTAACTAATTAACCATAAAAAACACACAAGAAAATAATGAAAGTGGAAAAAAAAGATACCTAAATAGTTTTATTTTTATTTAAAAAATAAGATTTACTTTTCTCAAAAACCAGGATTGGTAAACAGTTGGACTTACAAAAAAGGCCATTTAGCTTTGACAACTGATTAATGATATTTGTAAAAATGAAAACAAAAAAAGAACAAGATAATGGAAAAGAATATGGTCCCAAGAAATTTTATTTTTGAGAAAAATTCCAAAATTATTTACTTTTCTCATAGAAAATTAATATTATTTACTTTCCCAAGATGTCATCTTTCAGTACTGACAGTTAATGTGGCCATGTGTTGATTATAAAATTTTGATGATGAATATCTCAAAAGAATTGCCAATTTGGAGATAAAGAAATTTAAATCAATTTATTTTTTCTTCTCAAGAACCAAGGGTTCCATTAAATGCCAGCTTCATGAAGGGACCAGATGGCAGACTTTGACAATTGATTGATGGAGTTTGTAAAAAGTGCTGGTTACCATGTGTTATTTGACCAAAAAGATCTGAGAGATTTTAAATGGCCATGTGAGATTCATAAAAATTTTGGCTGATGGGAAAAAGAATTTTGTAAAGAAAAAATTCTGGATTATAATTTTAATGAGGCTAGCTTAGCCACGCCAGCACAACCGGGACACCATTGATCAATTGGTAGCAATGGTGATAGACGGAAGTAATTTGATGAGAAAGACAAGGAAATTATTGATGCCTACCAAAAAGATTGGTATGAGGTATCAATGTGAAAAGGGAGGAGTTTAGGAGGATAGCTCACCCCAACCTCTCCTCACAGATTTAGGGATCCCCCAAAAAAATGGAAAAAGTAATTTTTTCAAAATGGGGAAGTAATCAATTTTCCTGGCCTGACAACAAAGAGGTTTCTTGTCAACAATCGGGGAATTACCAAAACCCCAGACTGCATCTAACTCCACACTGGTTTTTGGTCAAATCCATATAAATGAACATCCTCAGGCAGTTTGCCAGTTAGAGCCTTTGGAGTTGCAGGAGCCAACAGGAAACAGTTGTCTCAAGAAGAAGCTGACCGAGAGATTCCACAATTCTGGCCTTCGACCTATCCTTCCAATAAAACAGCAAATTATACTGACAAACAAAGCTAAGCCAGCATTAAAAAAAACTAAACCAGTTGACTTAGAAGACCAGAACTTGCCAAGAAGTATAAAAGTGTCACTCTCAGAAAAAACAGGTTGGGAGAAAAATATACTCCTGTATATAACAGACTGATAAAAAGTTTATTTGTTTTCTTTCAACATACCCAAATCTTTTTCTGGTTTTATTTATTTATTTTTTTACACTTGTGCGATATCACATCCAGTCTAGACTCATCTTACACTACGGCTCGACGCCTGATTGATCTCATCTACCTAAGATCAAAATTACAATGTGGGTAGGTTAGACTTGATATCAAAGCAGTTACTTTGGTAACCAGACATTGGAAGTGAGCTGGGAATGACAGAGCTGGTGTCAAACCATTTACAGCTGGTGTGAAGCTGTTAGCATTAACAGACCATCCCACCTTGGTACCCTGACCAAATGATTCCGCCAGGTAGTGACAACCACTGATTGACCAGGACACAGGCTGGTGGCAGCGACTAAGAGTCAACCCCAAAATGCCAGTAGGAGAAATATTACAGTTTCACACCGCAACTGAGAGTTGACCATGGGCCAACAGCTCAGTGTCACATATTGGTGCCGTGACGACCAGGATTCGACCCTCTATGGGCCAGTGTCACACATTGCTTAAGGTGAATACAGTACGTGTTAGGGTCAGCACAGATAAACTCCTCTTAGATCAAAAATTCCCAAATGACATTAAATTTGGTTTAGACTTGTTATTTCCTGATATCAATCACAATTTTAAAACATGTTTTTGTTCTCATGTTGGATTGTTTAAGTTTTTAGTGAAAGATCTTGCATTTCCACTCAAAGGAACCTATATGCTATTAATGTCATATTGGTGAGAGGGCAGGAAAAAAGAAAATTCTCACTAGATATCTTACTAACCAGTTTTATGTAAATAAAGAGAGGTTGATTAAATGATTTGATTTTTACAGCTTATCAACTATTTGTGAATTATTTAAAACCAAAGTATATTTCAAATTGTAGGTGGTTACTTATACTAAAAATCAAAGGGAACTCATTCAATTCAAATAAAAAATTCAATTATCAAAATTAACCAGGAGAGTAATAGTTGTGTGCTGCTCCTGTCTTAAAAGATATTGTAATTATGGGAGATTGGTTTACCCAAATGTTCAATACCCTCTCTCTCTTCCTTCAATCCTTTTGTGACAAAACATCAAGATATGTATCATTGGGATAGAGAACAAGGAAAAGTAGGAGATTAGGGCAATATGGACATAAACTAAGTTGAACTTTAGACTCACTAAATCAATTCTATTTATCATATTAATAAGTGCAATGAGTAACAAAAATTAGTACTACTTTGAGCAAATAATACATAGTATTGTCAACTCACTAAAATGAAAATGTGGGATGGTGGTAGGAGGATCCCAATGTGGGCTGCAGAGCAATAAAGTTGAATTAAATCAGTTTGGTATTTTTAAATGATAGGAATTGTGAAAGTGAAAGACAAAATTTTGCACATATTTGAGCTGTCCATGTCTTCTTAAAGTACATTCTTAAAAAAAGCAAAAATTTATGTAATTTTTAAAAAGAATCATCAATTCTCAAAATGTGGGACAAAAATGTGTCCTGCATTATCTGATGCAGAACACAACCTTTAGCTTCAAAATGCATAAAAATCCTGCATTTTGAGGGATGGCTGGAAACCTTAAATCATTGTTCATTGGTAAAAGACTAAAATGTTTTCTGTTGTGCCATGAAGACAACAAATACAAACAAATAAATTTTCATCCATTATGTGTCTAAAATTTCTATTTAATCTCAAAAAATAAAAGTGAGGAGGCATTAATAGAATGAAATGTAAGAATTATTCAAAGATTAATGTTCATGATTAATTGATTTTAACCACGCACTTAATGTTAACAATTCAAAATGATCAAATCCTACTTACCATATGGTCTGGCCGTTTATCCTTTTTAATATTTTTCTGCTTGCTTCTTTTTTTCTTTTTCTTCTTTAGCAATTCACTAAGTTTGTCAATTTTTTTTGCCAGCTTTGACTGAAAGATGAAATTTTTTTAATTAAAAGAAACCAAAGACAAAACTGCCTTTAAATAGCAATGTAAGACTAATTATCCCAAACTAAAATTTTATTTTCAATAAATCTAAAAACTTTTATTACAGGCATAAAGATCTTGACAAACCATTAAAAAAAACAAAAACAAAACAAAAAACAACATTTATCTTGGTAGCTCGATTAGCAAACGTTATGAACATGCAAAATTTTAACAAACTTTGAAATTTTTCATCTCATATGCTATTGGACAAAAAATAATTTTACTTAGATTTAAAAAAAGTATATTTTTATCACTTTTCAATCATTATCCAGCATTTACTATAATTCAATGGTATAGAGTTCTTTTTTAATATAACAATTCACTTATATGGAACAATTTAAACTTGAATTCAGATTGATAATTTTAAAAAAGAAAGAAAATAGCCATTATGTTACAGTTTAAATTAAATTGTAAAAATTAGAGGTTTGTGTTTGTAGAAGAATGTACTCAAATAGTCTAGATATTCTTTTACAATTATCTACTACTTGGAAATAGTAGTGAAACAAATATCTTTACATTGTTATTTGATTTTTACCAGTTATCTTGCTGTCAACAAATCAGCTAATGGTTTGATTGGAACAGAAATCAAGGAAAATAAATTAGGCCCCAAATCAAATTTTTGCCATTTTCCACAGCTAATTACTGAAAAATACAAAAGGTAGTAGATTTGAAAAGACAATAACTGTAAGTATTTTTTCTAGAAGATAAAAGACTAATTAAAAACTCAGTTTGTATAGCTAGTGAGTTAGGGCAGGTTATGATGAGAAAATTTTTAAAAAATATCCTTAGAAAACATGAATCTTCTGCTCAGTAAACACAATAATTGAACAATATAATTTACACTCAAATGGCTAATGGATTCATCACAAAATTGACACTTACTGTCAAAGAATCTATTCAATCATATAGAAAGGTTTAAACTTTTAAAGAAATTTCTAACATTAAAAAATAATTAGAGAAAAATCTAATTTAATGATTTTTTTCTTATATCAAATAGACATGAAGTTATTCAGATATTAATCCAGTAGAAAACTTGTGATCCATCATTAGAAGAGATGTATATGAAAATGGAAAACAATATTTGAAAGAAAATTACTAGGAAGCAATAAAAACTGCTGCAAGTAAACTGAGCAGTTGCTTTTTTATGATAGGCAAGGCCTATGCCTCACCAGGATAGAGGCTAAATCTGCCTCACCTAGCCAGCTCAAATCTGGAATCCTAAATATGGCTTTTCCAGAAACACAGAAGAACCTCTGGCAGACATATATGACTTAGTGGTACAAAACACTCTCTGAGAACAAATCATGTTTGTCATTCTTTTCCTTTCAACCCTCTCGTTCCATCTGTGAAATACAGTGTTATTATACCATGGCTATAGTAATGCAAATAATGAGGAAAATAAAAATGTGAGAATAAACGTTTCTTCAACAGCTCACCCATTATCTGGTGACTTACCCAACACCTATTGATATTATTAACATCCATTATTTGGTCACCCCAACATGGTATATTAGTACTCCCATTATTTTATATACTCTATGCAATATGAATATGCAAACAAATATGAAATGTTCAATTCTGGCAGTGCACAATGTCCATAACAGGATAAAATCCACAACATTTTCCACGTGAAACTAGTTGCATGGATTTTAAAAAAATAACAAAGTAATAACATATTAGAATATTCATCAGTTATTTCTGACATAAAAACTCCATAAACTGGTATTTAATTTGCTCGTTATTCGATGCGTTAATTTGCCTAACATGCTAAATAATTACCATTTCTTAGCATTTTAACTAGGGACTTCATGTTTGCATTGAACACATCTCAGTCTATCTAGTGACTTTTACTTGTGGATTTTCTTCATCCACATGTTCACTAAGAGGTTGTATATGAGAACAAATTTCTTATTCTCTCTTGGCTTCTTTTTGTTTCAATGTTAACTTTTACATGATTGATTATAGCGGAGTTAAATACAACTTTTCCAAATTACTAACTGATTTTACATAATTTTTTCAATAATTTTTGATAGTATATGTTTTTGCCACATTTCCCATATTTTATGGAATATGTGGTTATATTTTTTTTGCCATGTGTACACTTTCTATTATTAAATAGGTTAAGTGTATTGGATACATGCTGGATATATGCTGCTCTTTGGTGTGGTAGTGACAAATTTCAGCCATACTTATTCTTGTAGTTATATGAATAACAGATATTAACAGTATTTATGCCGTCATACTCTTATTTTATGACAAAAAATTGTTTTCTTATATTTTTATGGTGTTGGGTTTTGCACTAATGCAAATATTTTTAATATAGCCACTGTCTTCCTCACTTCCAAGCCAAGTTTCATTTAGGCATACTTCAAAGGAGATCATGCTGCCTGCCATCCAGTCGTTCATCTACTTTTAATACCATGACGTGTAACACATGGTAGTAAGCCCCTACCTCTTTAACCCAATTGGGGGTAGCTACTTAATAACAATGGGCAAAGGCATAAGAGCAGCAGGCAAAGATTAGGGTGATATTTAATTCAAATATTTTTTCATGTGTATTCACATGACCTACCCAAGTATTTTATTATTCCCTCATACTATTTCTTTTCAGAGATATTTTCCAGCAACGAGTTGTGTTTGGCATTTGACATCTCTTCTACTGGCATAGAAAATTGACAACCAGGGGAAAACATTTTTATTTCACACACAAAAGAAAAAACATACATCCCCACAGACACCATGTCCTGAGGCATAGCATTGAAGCTTTCTTTCTAAAGACAAATGCACAGAATACCAGTCATCTGTAGAAGGTCAAAGGACCAACAGCTCCAGAAGCTTCTTCAAGCTTCAATGCAACATGTTGAATTTTCTGAAAATACATCTCGTGAAAACAGATTTTGAAATGATGCATAACTTAGGCAAGTCAAGTTGTTGCAGCCACCATATAGAAGAACTTTTAAGATCATGAAGAGACATTGAATTTTTTTTTTTGAATGCACATGTTAACAATGCAAAAATATTTGTTTGAATGGACTGACGCTAGTCTTTCTGCATGCTACATGGCTGAATGAGAACACACCAGTCACTACACTATCTCCAGAAGCATCAGATTTACAAGGCAGACAACAACCAGGTCTAGGGGCATATTAGATAGCCCAAGCATTTTTTATCTTAATTTGTTTTCTCTTTTTGTCAGAACATTCTTTTAATATGAAGTCTTGCATGATACTAACAGACAAAGAACTTTTTGTGTTATTGAATGGACATTGTTTAAACATTCTTGTTCTTTTTAATATACATTGCATACATATTCTTTTTTTTTTTTTACATTAAAGTTTGATAAAGTATGTTCCCAATTTCTATTATATCAACAACAAGTATGGGTGAGGCCCTTGTCTCGTCTGTATATAGACTAAACCTGCTTGTTCAAATCAGGAAATATAGAAAACAGAAACATAGAAAAACCTCTGGCAGACCCAATTCCCATTGGGAATTATTATGAAGTAAGATCCTATCTTTTTGTTTCCTTTTCACATTGTTTCTTGGGTAGATATGTTTTATATTTTCTTTGTGTGAGACAATATATATATATATATATATATATATATATATAAATAAAAAATTTACATGCACATGCTCCAAGTTAGTGGGAAGGCCAAGACTGACTTTGCAATTGATAGTGGAAATAATTGATTTTTTGCCCTAAGTTTTTCCCAATTTTGTATGGCCAGTGGAAATAAATCAGGATTTTTTGAGCAACAAGCCCTTCAAAAAATCTATGGCAGTTTTCATTTATGAAAGGTTGTTGGGTTTCATAATTTTCTGTATTTTTTTTTTTAAGGATTGCTTTTTTTTTTTGACCGTTTTCTGATTGTGTATTTTACTGTTTACATTCATAGATGCATATATATGTCTATATATATATATATATATATATATATATATTTATATTTTTATTTTAATATTGAGGATTTTTATTTCCTTGAGAAAACTGTATATTTTTTCTGTGTCTGTATTTTTGAATATTTTTTTAAATCTTTTCCATTGAGATATTTCTGTCTTATTCTAGTTATGATTTTGCATTCTGATAGAATATGTCTTATTGTGATTAGGCTTCCATTTTTACATTTTGGTGGATTTGTCTTTTTTAATATGTGTGAGAATGAGTTAAATATGTGTGTCCTATATGTGTTCTGGTTATGACAACTTGTTTTTTCCGAGTATTTCCAAGATCATTTCCCCATTTTCCTATTTTAGGTTTAATTTGAAATAATTTATTTCGGTTTGGTTTTTCCATAGATTTTGCCATTTGTTTCTTATGTATTTATATATTTTAGATTTTAAGTCTGTATATGGAATTTGAAGATTTTCGTCAATTGTCATTTTTAAAGATGATTTAGCAGCATTATCTGCCTTATCTCCTCCTTGGATGCCAACATGGCTAGGAATCCAGCAGAAGATGATATTTTTGCTTTTTTCCATTGAATGTAGTTTATATAGAAGACTTTGTATTAATGGATTTTCCAGTCTTTTCCCTTTTAGGGAGGTTAATACCGATAATGAATCTGAGAAAATAATATAGTTTTCTCCTTTGTTTTTTGATATGAAATTTAGTGCTAGTTTTATTGCGTAGGCTTCTGCACTGAAAATTGATGCTTCATTTGGCAAGCGTTTTTTGATAATTGTTTCTTTTGTTATTGCTGCGCTGCCTGTTTTTTCTTCGTCTTTTGATCCATCTGTGTAAATACTTTCATAGTTTTGATATTTTTCTTTTATTTTTGAGAATTTTTCAATGTATGTTGTGGGGTGTGTTTTTGATTTTGATAATTTGTTTAAACTTAATATTATGTTTGGATTTTTGATTATCCATGGTGGTATGTTTGATTGGTTGGTTTTAAGTATTTGATTAGACGGTAAATTATTTTCTTGGATGATTCCTTCCA